AAAACTCTGAAGGTGTCTTCTGCCTACGGACGATCTGCAGAAGAGTTCTCTATATAAAAGCTCTTAGGAAGGCATTCTCTCTACAAATGCTTCTGTTCACAGTAGATCTCAAGAAGACCTTCTGTTTTTGGGAGTTTTTATCCGGTCTTCCGTCCCTAGTAGACCTTTAGAAAGTCTTCTGTCCATAGTTGACAAAGATGTCTAGAAAGACTTATTTTGTTTTATAGAACACCTCTCGAAGATATTCTGTTTTTGGTCAAGACTCTTAATTTGTCATCTGCCCATAGAATGCCTCCAGAAGGTCTGCTGTCCATAACATATCCCAAGAAAGCCCTCTGTCTATTGGAGGTCTTTAACAGATCGTCTGCCCCTAGAAGACCCTGGAAGTTCTTCTGCAAATAGCTGACCAAGGAGATCTCTAGAAAGACTTATTCTTTATAGAAGCTCTCTGGTATGTCTTTCGTTGGGGTAAGACTCTTAACATGTTTCCTATATATGGAAGACCTTTAGATAGCGTTCTGGAAGGTTTTCTGTCTATTGAAGACCTTTAACAGATTTTCAGTCCATTGCAGATCCCAAATAGTTCTTCTGAATACCAAAAAAATATTCTTAGTCTACAGTATAACTCTAGAAGACCCTCAGTTCACAGTACACCTCTAGAAGGTATTAAAACCTTTCAAGATGCTAGATCTGCTGACCAAAGAAAACCTCAGAAACAGATCTTCTGTCCACAAAAGGCCTCTAGAAAATCTTCTGTGTCTTCCATTGCTCAGATTTGTCCGTTTTTATTCGCGAATGAAACATACTCGCTAGTGGGAATTGCTCTTCAGTTTTTTATTTTATGTCTGAGCGATCGCTTGTTATTCCTTTAAAAAAAATATGAGAGAGTGTCAAAAAGCTCGAATTAGTTTAAGAGTACTCCAACAGTAAAATGGAGAACTGCACCTTTCACTCGGAAATGAAAATTGTTCGCATGCGAGAGTGCTCGAATAGTAGGAATTTCCCAAACTTTACTCTTTACTCCTTTCTGTTATATGTGGGAGCAATCGAGTGTTACTCCTGCTCGAAAAGTTAGTTAGAATTAAGAGTTTTTTCTAAGAGTGGGAGAGGGAAGTCGTGCACAAAAACCCAGAGGAAAAGAGAGGAACTAGCATGGATTACTATTTCTTTCTCCCCAAACTAGCAAAAAGAAGACATAATTTTTTCATGATGAGTAGTCCTCCTCAATATAAACATAGAATACTTATAATATAGAAGCCCCTCTACCTGGATTCCGTCTAGAGAAGTCCTAAGAGGCTGCTAAGATTAAAGAATATATGTTATGTATAGACGCCTATAGAAGAATATTTTATATCTGTAATTTTTTTTATTTTGGTTATACTTAACAAATACCAATATGTGACATAATCCATTCCAAGCCGCTTTTGACAAATTTCAGGATGCAAAATAATAGCGAAAAAATCCCAAAACGTGTTAAAATTTCAAATTCAGTTATATTAATTCCCCCCAAGAACAGAATTTCTAAGAAACGTGCAAAATTTGAAAAACAACGTTACGATTCCTAATTTGGAAGGAAACAGCAGTGGCTAACGAACAACACATTGTCCAGACTTGAAGTGGAGGATGATTTAGTTAGGTGTTGTTGAAAAGAAAAAAAAAAATACCGACAATATTATTTTTTTTTTTCTCAAATTTTAAATGATTCATTGGAAACCATAATTGCCAGACGCAAAAACACCCAAACGCCACATACGCTCTAACACTTACACCTGAACCAATATCCAATTCAAATAGCAGCGCAAATGAAGTGGGGGAGGGTGGGGGTCGTTCCTCAATTGGTTTTTACTGCTACCTTGAAATAAATAAAATTCCCATCAACGACGACGATGGTTCGTTAATTAAATGCAATGTGATGGTGTTGTTGCTGCTGTTTTTTTGTTATTAAACACATGCACAAAATTATGAATAAATAGAAAACAACAACAACAAGAACTAGAAACAAATAAGTAACGTAAAGCCGGCAAATTATTGTAGGTAGTTGATGGTGCTCATAAGCGAGTACTTAAATATGTTGTGTCATTTTTTCGTACCTTTTTGTTTTCTACTTAAATAGAAATGACGGATGTTTGTGTGTCTGTTTTTGCATTTGAAAAATTGTTTAATTGAATTTTTTTTTTCGAATCGAAGAGTGGAGGAGTCTCAAGTGTTATAATTATTATTAACCATCTATTTTTAGTGATGAAAACGCTATGTGTAGTGTCTTATCGGAAATATTTATATGAAAATATATGTTTCAAAAAATAAAGGAATTATTTAAGGGAACATGAATTACCTTAAAATAGAACTGACACAAACCAACGACCACAAGTTTGTTTTTAGAAAGAAAACTACATAGATAAGGGCATTCTGTAAAAGACCAACAAAAAATTGGATTACCAAATAATGGTACCAGGATTCCCCCATTATGGCCATTACTTATTACATGGTATGGTGAAAGTAAGCTATTTTGTCTTGTCAATTTTATAGGAATAAATCTTTATTTTTTTATGTAGATGTCTTTATTTTTGGTTTATTTATGCATATGGTATGTAGTTGTCATTGTCTTGGCCTATTTGTAATGAAAAAGGCATATACTTTGTCATTACTGGTAATGATGAAGGTGGCATACATACAGGGTGAGATAAAAAAAAAACTGCAACAAAGTCAAACGCCATAATTTTTACATTTTTTAAAATCTATTGAATGAAAGCAAGAAATGTCGGAAATAGCATCAAGTTTTGGAATAATTTTAGATTTGTTCGAATTGGTCACCTTTGGCACGAATTATGGCCTTCGAACGGCCAATGAAACATGCGTCACATGCTGCCCGAATATTGCTCTGCATTATTTTGGCCCATTCCCGGCGAAGCGCTTGCTTGAGTTGATAGACACACTTGTATTTTTTATTGCCATCCTTGCTTTCCAAAATACTCCAGCCACAAAAGTCCAACGGATTGGTATCCGGAGATTTTGGTGGTCATTGTGCGCTGGAAATGAAGCGAGGAACCTCATTTTGTAATCATTCTTGGCGCGTGCCGAGTCCTGTTGGAATGTCCAAGGTCTGCGGCCGAAATGTTTGCGTGTCCAAGGCCTTCATACACTCTCCAGAATATTTTCGCGATAATATTCGGCATTTATTCCTGATGCCACGGTCAATTAATACGAGCGGAGAGCGACCATCGGATATTATGGTGGCTCACACCATCACCATAGGCGGTGCTTGAGTTCTGGTGGCTAACCGACGGTGCACATTTCAGCTAACCTCTTTGGCAAGTAAATACGATAATTTTGTTTGCTTACAAACTGCTGGACAACGAATGTTTTCTCATCGGAGAAAACCAAATTCGACAGTTTACCACTTTCGGTCAAGCGAAGCAACTCTTTAGCTCTTTAGAGTCTATTTTCTTTCTGTTGCGGTGTAAGTTTTTGCACTTTTTGAAATTTCAATGGCTTTATCCCGAGCTCATTTTTCAATATTTGCCGAATGGAATATTGCGATATGTTTCTGATATTTATATGTTTTTTCCGTTCACTTCCTTGACGTCAAGCTACGCTACTAGTATCACGGTAATGAGCGATGGTATGAGACACAAAAGATTGATTCACTTTTAAATGCTGGAGTGCTTTAACGATAGCCACTTGTGGTTTTCCAGCCAAATATAAAGAAATCACACTATCACTTAAATTCCATCACGAATAACTATTTTCTGGAAAATTCTCACCAAAATGCTTTTGTACGCTTGTGGACAATATAATGAGCTGTCACTGGAGTAATTTTAACAGCTGTCGGACGAGCGGCTTAGAACAGCAGTCTAAACTTGGTTGCAGTTTTTTCATCTCGCCCATGCAGCAATACGAAAAAATATGCGCAATTTTTTTTTCTTTTTTTTTCTTATTTTTTTTTTTCCATTTTAATTCTACAAAAAATATGCAATTTGAAAAATGAATTATTACAAATTTTTCATTCCTTTGGACTTCTTATCTAGAAAATATACATTCTATATATACAAAAAAATCGATCATGACTGGAAGATAGAAAATTTGCAAATTTATGCAGAAATGTGCAAATAAATGCACGTTTTTCTATTTCAATTGTGCAACCAAAATTAAAATTTTTTTTTAGTTTTTATGTAGAAAACAATAATATGCAATAAAATTTGATCGTACCTGGAAGGAAGACAGTAACGCATCAAAAAAATTAATAATCTCCTCTTTATGATTTTACTGGGTCCAGAAATAGAAGAAATACAAATTCTTAAATATAGCGAAATCAGTATTGTATTGTTTTTGAAACCATAATCTTTCTATTTTTTATTATTCATTTCAATACCACCATCTCTGTTGTAATATAATATTCCCAAATTTTGGTTTATTGCTCTCTCATCTGATTAATAATTGTTTTGTCACCATCATGCAGCCGCCAGCTGACTCATGCCAAAGCACCTAATGATTTATACGTTTTTTATTTGCCACCATCATTTACATAAGTGTGTTGGCGCCCAACGTGGGGACAATGATGTAATTATTTTTACAATTCTATGATTTATAGGCGATAAAAAACAAGATTTCATTAACACTTTTGTCCTTTGCTAAACATTTATATTTGCCGCCCAACGTGAGGCGCTCACATGTAAACTTCAAATTGTACCGCAAAAAACATAAAAAGCAACTGTAGATCTCTGACCTCTGTTACCCACCATCTTCTTTTTTGTTTTGTTTTTTTTTTTTTTTTTAATTTTCCCTTTCCAGTGATCCTTGCAAAGGATCACCGATTTTTAATTTCCTTTTTTTTTTTTTTGTTGTTTTCATTTTGTTTTTTCTCTCCACCTCTTCTTTTGTTTTAACTTTGTATAGTTAGATATTAAACCAAAAAAAATTGTTTTGAATTGAAAAATGTTTGCAATACAAATTTCTTACCGTCTTTTCTTCTTCTTCTTCATTGTTTATATTTACAATTCCAGAAACAATAACAAATTTCACATGACAATCTAAAACAAAAGAAAGAAAGACACATGATTCTACTACAGCCAAGAACAACAACATCAGCTACTACTTCTACTACTACTTCTCAATAGAATATCTAAGAAAAAAGCAAAACAGAGATTTGTCAGAAGACGACACAGACGATACATAGACAAAGAGAAAGAGAGAGAGAGGGAGTAAAAGAGAGTGAGAGAGAGTCAGTAACAGTTGAATATGTTTTATGCACACATTATATTGGCCAAAAAAGGCCCTTTGGCAAGAGTATGGCTGGCGGCCCATTGGGACAAAAAAATCACAAAGGCTCATGTCTTTGAGACCAACATTGAGAAATCCGTCGAGGGCATTATGCAGCCCAAGGTCAAGCTGGCGCTGCGCACCTCCGGCCACTTGTTGCTGGGCGTCGTACGCATCTATTCGCGCAAAGCCAAATATCTGCTGGCCGATTGTAATGAGGCCTTTGTAAAGATAAAAATGGCATTTCGTCCGGGCATGGTTGATCTGCCGGAGGGACATCGGGAGGCCAATGTAAATGCCATTACACTACCTGAGGTATTTCACGACTTTGACACGGCCTTGCCGGAGCTAAACGATATCGACATCGAAGCCCAGTTTGCCATGAATCAATCGCGGGCCGATGAGATTACCATGCGAGAAGACTATGGCAGCATGTCGCACTCGTTGCACGACGACGGATTTGGTGACATTGGCTTTGGCAGTGACACGCCAGATATGATGCGAGACCACCTAGACTCGCACATGAATGATCAGCTGTTCGAAGATGAGGTTATGCCACACATGGGCCGAGGAGCAGGGGAGGGCAATGAGGCCAGTATCAGTCTCAATGAGCCGAGTCACATGTCCCAACCCCGTCTGGACATCGAGGAGGCTGATGGTTTTGGTGATGAGTTTGGCCAGCCAGAACTGTTTGGTGATGAGCTATTCGGCGAACCGCCACGTTTGGACCCGGAGGTCCAGCAACGCCTTGAAAATCTACCCATTATTGAAGATTCCGATGATGATCATTTTGATGTCAGAGCTCCGTCACCGGCCTCCTCATGCCAAGGTTCACCGCTGCCGGCCCATCATCAAAATGAAGATGAACATGCCCAAATGGAAACTCCCAACAAACAGGCTCCACCCGAACAAGCCGATGAAAATCTCGAACAATCAACCCTGCTCCAGAACGAGGAGGAAAGTTTTGCCCTAGCCCCCATTGAGGCTTCGGCCTACAAGGGTGTAACCAAAAATGCCAAGCGCAAACGTAAACTTATCGTCGACGAGGTCAAGAATATCTCCGGCGAGGAGATGAAAGCCCAGCTGGCAAATACCTCAGATATTGTAACCATTCTCGATTTGGCACCACCCACCAAGCGTCTGATGTACTGGAAAGAGACCGGAGGTGTGGAGAAGCTATTCTCACTACCCTCTCGTATGATACCGGCCCGTGTGCTCATGATCAACTACAATCGCCATTTGATTTCCCGTTTCACACCCCTGGAAGATTTTACCTGTTTGGGCCCGGCCGACATGTTGGCTCTCGATCACATACATAATGAAAACGAAAACGATTCCAATGCCATTATAACCAAAAAGGGTGGACGTAAACGTAAATTGGATGCCATTACCAATGAACCAGCCGCAGCCCCATTGGACACAACCTTAACGCAACAGAATGTCTCCATGCCGGAACAGGTGAGAGAACAAGAGAGTATGGCAAATGCCACAGCAGATTCTCTGCGCCTGGATGTGGCCGGAGTGGGTGGTCAAAACGACTCCACATTGCCGCCAGCAGAGGCCACCATCTATGACAATTGCCAGCGCAGCCCGAATCCCATGTTTGCCCTCAACGACATTCACAATTTGGATAACCTCAACAGTACCCTGCCCAGTGATTTGGGTAATCTACATCATGATCTGGACAATGACCACGATTTCGATCACGTCAACATGACACCGGGTAACTTGCATCATGGACAAATGACACCCCACCATCCGGAAATTGAAGCCATTGAATCAATACCAAATCTCCCTGTAGATCAAATATCCTCCATTCTCAAAGAGGCAGAAAATATGTCACAACAGCAACAACAGAACAATACCACAACGACAAATAACCTAGCCTCCAGTCTGGCCTCCGATTGGAATGAATGTCCTCCATCAAATGCACAGCAGCAAACACCCGCCGCCACTGCACCCTCCTTTGAAATTCCCACTGCACCACAGGAAGAACAGCAAGAAAACGAGACCAGTGAACAATTTGAAGAGCGTGTGCTCAACAAGCGTGCGGCCCAAATGTTCTATGCCGTCAAGAATCGCATGGTCGCCCAGGATTGTCTGGTCCTGTCCGAGCTGACGGGCAACAACAGCCGCAAACAGGCCGCCCAGAAATTCTACTCCCTGTTGGTATTGAAAAAATTCCGTGCCCTTAATATCACCCAGGAGGGACCCTATGCGGACATTGTTATAACGCGAGGCACTCTCTTCGATAATCCTAAGCTATAAAAACATTTCAATTTCATTTGATTTAATTATCTTTTTGAATAATTATTTTATTTTCCCCCAACCCTTAATATTTTATTTTATTTCTTTTTTTTTTTTTTGTTCTTAATGTAATTTCTATTTTTTGACAAAAATGAGCATGTTTTAATAATAATAAAAAAAATGTAAAAGAACAAAAAAATGATAATAACAATTTTAATTATAGAACAAATTTCCAATATGTTTTTAAAAATAATAAAATAAGTGATTTTTTTATTTCTGGAAAATGGGTGAGAGGTATTGGTTTTTGCGTTTACGTTTTACGTAAATCACATAACTCGGGGATTCTATAAAAATTAAGGCTAACAAAAGTACTTTAGTACTTTATGATAAAATGTATGTATTCGCGTCATTTGTCCCTTTTTGACATTCACACATACACTAGCAAGTGACCGCTACTTCGTCGGCGAAAGAAGTCTACCTTAAAATTTTAAATTCCTTCCGACGGTTGCTGTTATGCCTTTTTAGACTTAAAATTCACAATTTGTTCAGTTTTTAGTCAAAACTTCATGCATTGTACTAACTTTTCAGACTTTTAAGGCTTTATACAGTGTAGCGCAAAAGTAATCCTCCTATCAGAAAATGCTATACATTTTACGATTAGCCCCTAAGGTCTTAATTACAGCCAAAACACGTCGGAAGTTTACTTTTGCACCACCTTGTACATGCTTATGTATTTGACAGACATTCCGATGTTTTTTGGCTGTAATTAAGACATTAGGGGCCAAACGTAAAATTTATAGCATTTTCTTATAGGAGGACTAATTTTGCACCACCTTGTACATTATTCAACCTTTTCCTTTTTCGGATCGGAAAATGTTTATCTTTTACTACACCAAAGTCTTAAAAATTTAATTTTGAAGTTTACCGAGGAGAATATTCGTAAAACCATAACACAATGCACCCACATCCAATTTTTCTGTCCAAAACTATTTCAACGTCTCATATCTCAATTCCAGACACCAACAAATCCCTCAATATAATATCTTATCAACAGTCGCCAACAGTAACATCTATATCAAATTTCCCTTAGCCCAATATCCATTTTAGCACCACTTTGTACTCTTCGAACAATTGCAGTACACATTTCCAAAACCATATCCACATCTTAACCACAGAGACCTCAATATCTAATTCCGGGATTCCACCTCTATTCCTTCACCCAATACCCAATTTAGTACCACCTAGTACTTTTCGTACAATTATAGTACACATTTCCAAAACCACTTCCATATCTAATTTCCAGATACAAAAGGAGACCTCAATATCTTATTTGTGGATATAAGCTCTTTTCCTTCTTCCAATACCAAATTTAGTACCACCTAGTACTTTTCGTACAATTATAGTACACATTTCCAAAACCACCTCCATATCTCATTTCCAGATACCAACGGAGACCTCAATATTAAATTTCGAGATTCCATCTCTATCCCTTCACCCACTTCCTATTTAAGTAGCACTTAGTACTGTTCGAACAATCATAGTACACATTTCCAAATCCATCTCCATATCGTAACCTCAAAATTTCAGAATTCCAGCTGCATCCCCAATACCAAATTTAGTATCATATAGAGTTCTTTTCGTACAGTTAAAGTATGCATTTTAAAAAAAATCTACCTATCTCAACCTCAGATACCAAAAAGTGATATCCATATTAAATTTCAGGAATTCAGCACCCTTTACCAAATTTAATACAATTATAGTAAAAATGTATATCCGAAACCAGCTCTTTCTCTCAACCACAGATACCAACATTTCGAATTGGTATTTTTCGAATAGCTACTGTACAAATTTTCAAACTACCTCCAAATCTTTATATAAAATACGAAGTGAATATCAACTTTTAGAATTTCAAATTATTACAAATTAATAACGGCGCTTTTCGTATAATTATTGTAAACATTTCCGGAATCACCTCCATATGTCCAGGCTACATATGAACAGCGACCCCAATATTAAGTTTTAGGCTACGAATGCCCCATATATCAGTACCTCCCGATATTCGGTATTTTGAAGATTTTAGGTACAATATTCACCGAAATTGTTTAAAATTTCGTATATAAAGTTCCTAATAGGAACTGTGGCTGAAAATTGTTTATGCAGGTCCAGGTCCAGTTCCAGCTGCGATATAACGGTACCTTCCCATATATGGTATTTTGATGATTTTAGCTACATTATTCACCGGATTCAAGTTTCGTATTGAATATTTTAATATTTTTAATGTAGGTCCACGTCTTCGTATAGATCCCAATATAACGGCTATATTTGGGTTCTTTAAAATTTTAGCAGAATTTTTAATGAATAAAATTAATTATTTTTTTTTTTTTTTGAAAATTTTCAAATTCGGTCTAAATGGTGAAGGGTGTTCAAAGTTCGGCCCGGCCGAGCTTACTGCTTTTTTTACTTGTTTGCATATTTTTTTCTGCCGAGGAGATTCAAACCAGCGACCTGTGTTTTAAAATTGAGCCGTTACTCATTATTTGGCGAGATTAAAGTAACTTGCTTTGACTTGTAAATTTTATAGGAATAACTAAATAATTTGTAGCTTACTGGTAATGCAGAGGATATGTGGTAGTCATTACTAGTAACGCATGGGCTGTCAAAATGTTCTGCTGCGATGTGTGGTGTGTTGTTTTATTTTTCATTGTTTCCCCTATGAAATAGCAATTCATTGGTTCTGACGACTACATAGCCCAATAATCGTTTGCCTTGAATATTTTGAAAGATATGTGAATTATAGCTAGATTATTATTTAACTTTATCTGTTCTGCTTCTATGGTTTCAACATTTGTTTTATCATCGTCTGAACGACGATGTCGTCAAACAGTGCTTTTTTTCAATTTACTGTAATCTAAAGAGAAAAAAATGCGGCACTACAAAATAGCACCAGCACCACCACACACAACCATGAAGTAAAACTGCCAAGCTATATACTCTTCTGCTATATATATGTATGTACGTGACCGATAATTGTACTTCCCGATAAGATAAAATTGAAATTAATATTGTTTTTTTTGCTGGCATTTTTTTTGTATGTTGGCTTCAGCGATACTATTAAAGCTAGTGAACCGACAAAAATAAAAAAAACAACGGTAAATTGAAAAAAGCTAAGAGATAACATAATTTGTGACGATTGTCAGCCACACCAACCAGTCAGGCAGCCAGCCAGAGTGGTGAGGTAGTTATATTTATAGCGTTAAATAATTGGCCGAAGGAGTTTGGAATTTAAAAAATAGAAAACTTTTTTATATATTTTTAGATTATATACATATATGAGATCTTCCGTTTAAAGAAGAATTTCTCTCTCTCTCAGACATTAAGATTTCTCCCTCGATAAATGGGCCTTTTCTAAACCTCATACTGAAGTTTTAAATTTTTTTATCAAAAATCGAAAGGCAGTATACCACTTATCTTCATATATAAACATTTCGATTTCTGGTTTACAGATTCCTTATTAAATATTTATGATTTCAATTTTTTAGTATTCGATAAGGAACGATGTTTACGTCCATATATATAACATACTTGACCTAATTTAAATTGTTACATAATAAAGTTCAGTTATTTATATTGCAAATAAAAATATGTACGAAGGAGATTTTAAGCGAGTTAACAAAGTGGTATTTTTGGTAATTTTTTAAATATGGTTAAAAATTAATTTAAACGGGATCGTAGCAAGTCAAAATATTCTACAAAATTATTTGTTCTAATTCTCCACAAACCATTTATAGAGATGGCGTCAAAAACAAAATATTCTTCTTCAACTAAAGAGAAATCTCTTCACTTCTGCATATCAATAAAAGAATTAAAAAAAATATTTATAAAAAATAATAACATCAATGTTTCCAAAAAAAATTAAAAATAAAAAAAAGTAACGAAAATATTCCCTAATTTTTCGTGTGTTTATTTCTGTTTCTATAGAATCCCTGAATAAAAAAAAAAATTGAAATTTTATCTGGGTAGGATAAATTGTCCTCAATTTATAAATATATTGTTATACCCTGCACCACAATGTGTCCAAGGTATTATGTCTGTGTGTATTTGTTTGTAACATAGAGAAGGAAGCGAGTTAGACTCATAGTTCCCTTTGATAATCTGCATAGAATCACATTCTGAGACGATTTATGCATGTCCGTCCGTCTGTCCGTGTATTTTTGTAAACAAAGTGCAGGTCGCATCTATTGCCCGATCGAGATGAAATTTTGCACAAATCAGTTGTTTGGTCCAAGGACGATCCCTACTGAAATTGGTCATAATTTAGATTTAGCTCTCATATATATCTACCTCTGATTTGCCTTTTACTGTGCACTAATGTGTAATATAAGCCCTAATAGGATGGAATTTGGCAAATTGAGCCTAAAAATAAGCATTTTAAAATTGATAGAAATAGGTTCAGATATAGCTATAGCTCCCATATACAGAGTGAAATGAAAAAACAGCAACCAACTTCAAAATGCTGTCATTTCTAAGCCACTCGTCCGATAGATGTTACAATGTACTTGTTTACAAGCGTACAAAAGCAATTTGGGTGGGAATTTTCCAGAAAAAAAATTATTCGTGATGGAAATCAAGAGTGATTTCTTTATATTTAGCTGGGAAACCACAAGTGGCTATCGTTAGAGCTCTCCAGCATTTAAAAATGTGAATAAATCTTTTGTGTCTCGTGCCATCGCTCGTTACCGTGACACTGGTAGCGTAGCCCGACTTCAAGGAAGCAACATCAACAACAACATCAGCAGAAATGGTTCGAAAAGTAATGAAGCGACTTGATCAAAACACGCGTCGCAGTGCCCGAAAAATGGCTCGTGAGTTGAACATATCGCAATATTCCATTCGGCAAATATTGATAAATGAGCTCGGGGCAAAGCCATTGAAATTCCAAAAAGTTCAAGAACTTACACATCAACTGAAAGAAGATAGACTCAAAAGAGCTAAAGAGTTGCTTCGCTTGGCCGAAAGTGGTGGACTGCCGAAATTGGTTTTCTCCGAGGTGAAAACATTCGTTGTCCAGCAGTTTGTAAATAAACAAAATGACCGTGTTTACTTGCCAAACAGGTCAGCTGAAAATGTGCACCTTCGGTTGGCCACCAGAACTCAAGCGCCGGCCATGGCGATGCTGTGGTCCGCCATAACATCCGATGG